ATTCATGCAAACTGGTAATTTTATTTTCAAACACTTCTAGATCTAGATTTTCTTTCATGAAATTGCTTGGAATTGATTTAACTTTTACTATATTCTTTATAGACTCAATCACGTTTTCTTTATTTTAGAATTAAACTAATTGTTGAATTTCAATTTCATTAAATTTTATTGGTGGATTATTTACTGCCTTATCCATTGTGTATATGGTCGTTTCTTAATCTTAGTTCAATGAACTGTGTGGGAATGGTTTACAAAAGTCCAGATCCTAGGATTACAATTGAAAATTAATTGACCTTCATTAAATATTCCAATTAGAGGGTTGTGATGATAACCTCTAGTTGAGTAAAAAGTAATGAATTATTGATGTCGATGGTCCAATCCAATTGAGGGAATTCAGATCTTTACTAATTTCACGTATTGAGAATTAAATTTCATTCCAATTGACAATCTACATTCACATAAAATCACGAAAACTTTAGTTTGTTTGATCCTTGGTAGATTTTTCCGTCTTCCTCTGGAATCAACACCCAAAATCTATACTGCAATCACCGCATTATACTTTGGGCATAATCAAGATATTTGCATGAAAATTTTTTTACTGAACAACCAAAAGGATTCTTGTTGCAGGAAATGAAGACAAGGTGTATTTGCTTAAGAAAGCCTTGTATGGATTAAAGCAGGCTCCAAGGGCCTGGTACAGCAAAATTGATGACTATCTTGGTAGCCTTGGTTTTACCAGAAGCTTGAATGAGCAAACTCTTTATGTAAAGCAAGTGCAAGAAGAAATGGTTATTATTTCGCTATATGTTAATGATCTTCTAGCAATTGGCAGCAACTTTGTTTTGATTGAAAAAGTGAAAGCAGATTTGAAGAAAGCATTTGATATGATAGATTTGGGGGAAATGCAATACTTTCTTGGCATAAATACATCAAACACAACAAGAAATCTTTGTTTGCCAAAGAAAGTATGCTAAGGAAGTTTTAAGAAAGTTCACTATGGAAAATTGTAAACTAGTAAGCACTCCCTACTACTGATACACTGGACTTTGCGAGTATATGATTTACTATAATACATGATAGACCCTCTGCACATATCTCGAAGAAATGTGATATCATTATTTACTTTATAGTTATGAGCATTTTAAAGGGTAAATTGGACCCCAAATTTATTGGGTATATGTGCTATGGATATATTGTATTGCATTATAGGTTGGTTTAGTCTATATTACAATGGAAATGCTATCGAAATTTCGACAAAATATTTGTAATCTCTATCTTTTGAGGCAATCTGTAAGTTCTCGCTTATTCTGACTCATACACATTTTTGAGGAAGCTTGTAAGTCCTCGCTTATTGAAGCTACCAATATTTCTGAGGCAATCTATACGACCTCGTCTGCATAATAGCTTATATTTCGAAGTCCGACCCGCATATAAATAATACAACTCAGACTTGGGAGACTATTGTTATACACAAAAATTACATGGCATACGCATGACGGAAGAGGTCCCACATTGGTTGACGTGGCATCATTTATTTGACAGCTTATATTTCGAAGTCTGACTTGCATATAAATAATACGACTCAGATTTAGGGGACTATTGTTATATATAAATTATTACATATTGGCCTTACTATTGGGCTTGGATGAGCCCATTAATACACTCAGCCCATCTCCATTTTCTATATATATGTGGTTTTATTTCATTCCGTGGTAAGTCATGCTAACCCGAACCAAAACTCCTCTCTCGTCTCTTGCACATTTTATTTTCTTTTCGTCCGGTCATTGGCTTGAACGTCGGAGTGCAAACGGTCACCGGACCCTTTTCTTGATCGGCGACCTTTGCTTTCTAACGGGGTGTTCCATGTGTAGGTGATGAGGGGACAAGGCCGAGATTCTACTGTCGCATTTTTGAAGTCAACAGATTTTAATAGTAATGAGGGGGACTTCCAACCTTAAATCCGAGAAGTACAAAGCGGAGAATTAATAATTTACCAAAATATTAAATTTGAGAGTACTACTCCATTATAACAGAAAATTCATTAGAATTCTGCAAAACAATAGCTATTGATTAAACGGTTTTCCAGAGCTCTATATCATACTAAAACAAAATCCATAGAATAATTAATCAATAAATAGTTGTAGCATCATAATCACCATGTTAATTATAATATAAGATCATTGACACTCTAGACACATACATCCAAATAAATTCATATCATAGGCAGTTTCTTTCACAAGACAACATACTTATGAGAAAATATTCAGATATATGAGTAAACAATATCACATGTAGATATCATGTTATTTACAAGGGGAATATCACTAGCACAGACCATACCAATACATATCAAGTAAAAGAATAAAACATAACAGAAGTAGAAAATTTCTTGTTACGAAGAAAATGCATATTCTTGCAAGTTATCATCGATATAACTCACTCATTGAGACCTCATTTGTTGATAAATGAGTAGTAATATCCGACTGCTATAGATAAGTGATTCTCGTGACAAACTAAAATTTTCGAATAAGAGTTACCACATATGAAAAATGCAGGTTGTGAAGGTTCAGTTAGAATTAAGGAAATGCTAGAGAGCTTGATAACTATTGCATTTTCTTGAACACATAACAAACCCAAGTGAATGCATCTCATAATATCTGGCATAGATCCTGAAGAAGCCCTCAATGTAGGATCTATTATATTTGTAATCTTCCTTGGTGCCAATTTTTCTAAACTTGTGAGAATTGGAATGTTAAAAAACAATAAAAATCATCCTTGGTTGCTTCAAGTCGACAAAGACCCAACTTTATCATATCTTTACTTACACAACGTCCAAGGTCATCCAACTCTCCCCATCTTGAAAATTATAAGTTCTCTACCGCTTACTATTTTTAAAATCAGGAAGCCAATGCCGAAGACATCTTATTTAACACTAATGTGAGATCCAAACAAGATATGTACCTATACATTGTTAATTTCGATGATGAATTGTCAAATCCGAGTTGGATGATCTCACCAACCAATATGCCATCTACTTCTCTTAAACTTCACTTTTAACAGCTAGAAATCAAACTGCTCTATCTACACAAAAGGGCTCTAAATATATGAACGATAATCCTGTCAGTTTTATGAGCTACATATCTTGAACAAATTGAACCATGTATGTAGGCGGGAAGCCAACACCCGGCGAGGGGGTGTGGCCGCACATGCTGGCTCCATCGAAAGCTTTAGAATCATTGGATACAAAATTGTGGAGTTGTAGTTACCAATTGCAGAGCCAGCCAGAGAAGAAGATGACAAAGGAAAGAGACGACCCCTTTTCCTTTCTTTTTTGTTTTTGATATGGGCTCAAGCCTGAAGTAATTATTGTTGGGCCTATTTTTGTCTAAACCGAATGTCCAATTGAATTCTCATATGAAATTAACAAATGGTCCAAGACTCCAATATCAAACCATTTGTTCGTGAATTGGGAATTGGCCCAAGTGCCCACTGCCCAACCATTTTCTTTCAAAGGCAACCACAACCACTGAGCAAAGAAAGAATCCAAATTCCCAATTCCCAAATCGTGAAAGAAAGCCAAACCATTTTCCAATAATTCTCCCTTCTCCATTATCCAATCCACACAGTGCAGATAGGCAGAGACTCCGTCCCCATTCTATAATGCCAATTTCCATTTGAAATTGAAGAAGTAGCACAGTGAGCACAGACAATGTGTTTTGCAGCTTCTGCTGTCGACTGCGAGCCGAGTCTAAGTGCTGTGAGTCTGGTCACTGGTGACTCTTTTTCCCTTTTATTTTTCTTGTTTTTGTTTAATTTTGTTAGCTATTTGACTTGTTGATGTTGAGTAATGACTAATGAATGTTAATTATGTTATGATTATTGTTCGGGAATTTATGTTTGGGAATTGTGATTTATTATAAGTAATTTATGTTTTAATAAGGAATGATTATTGTTTCGAGAATTTATGTTTATGAAATTATGTTTGCAAATCATAAGTAATTTATGTTCTAATGAGGAATGATTTATGTTTTGGGAATTTATGATTATGAAATTATGTTTGCGAATTATGATTTATTATAAATAATTTATGTTTTAATGAGGAATGAATATTGATTTGGGAATTTATGTTTTCAAAATTATGTTTGCGAATTGTGATTTATGATAAGTAATTTATGTTTTAATGAGGAATGATTATTGAATAACTTTCCATATTATTTAATCAAATTTTAATAAACTATCGGACTATTATGATCGTTGATTGTCGACGATCGATGGTCAATAGTCAACCTCTGTCCTAACTGGACTTCAATCCTGGATTCGCCCGCGCATGTATGTATAGCTTATCATAAGAAATGTTCACAAAATCGCATAACCAGATCTCCAATCTTTAACAAAGATTCTACAGAAATACATAAAATCGTCAATTTGAAGATCAGCAAGAGTACAAGAAGCCCACGACATCAAAATGATCATTCCCAAAGTTGTGCAGATCTATACATTACTGAAAAATCTTAGAAACACTGATTTTTTTCCTTCGTCTGTAGGGTATCTACCCAATTGGGATTATTAGAGATTAATTCACCGTGAGGGTTTCAAATTAATCAAGAGAAACTAATGGCCAATGCTATAGGAATTGGGTTTAGTGTGAACTATGATTTGTTTTGATTTTCGACTTGGGTTTGTCTACTCATGCTAATAGTGTTGAACTTTAATGTCTTATCGGGTCATATTCCTATGGATCTGTATACAATTCAGGATCCAGAGCGAATTAGCCCCTATTTGACAATTATTTTTTGAATTTTTTTTTTACATACTCATTTTTAATCATACATTCATCTAACAAAATATGGAAGTTGGGTGACTTTATTTAAACAAATAACAATACCTTTGCCATGACTCATGCCAACACATAATATTTTTTTCCATGTTAAACGCTATCTCGACATTTGGTCAAAGTTAAAGTGCAGATTAGATTTTCTGATATATTTGACTAACAACAATGGAGAGATTAACTACATTTGAATAAAACTTTTTCAAAACCTAATATCAAGCAAGTTAGGAACAAATAGATCAATCAAATAATAAGTTTAAACAAAATAACAATAAGCCAAAGTTAGAAATTATGCAAACAATATATTTGTGGAGGTTCAATTTAAACCAATGATCAACGTCCTTCATTACCAAGCTCTTCGTCATGAGCAATACATTTTCACTATATTAATTCACTTATGGTGCAATTAGAACCTTATAACACTTCCGCTGACTTACAAACAAGAAGTAACGATCTTTACAATATTGAATTGTGAAGGCTTATTCATGAAACAAGGACAAGTGTTCTTAAAGGCAATTCTAATTCAACAATAAAAACAAAAGTATATGGAAAATAACTTGTAATGATGAATATGTCAATCATTTTTAGTTATCGAGGATATAAATCACTCATTGAGACTTCATTTATAGATGCATCAGTAGAATTACCTGATCTGTTCTTTGATGATTCTGTGGCATTTGTTGATCTTGAATTTTGTTCCTGAAGAAATGAAATTTTTGGATCAAATATGCTAGACACAAAAAATGCTGGCCGTGAAGGTATCGGCAGAGTTATAGAGAGGCTCGTGAGCATAAGAACTATTGCTGCCATTGTAGGCCTAACAGCTGCATCTTCTTGAACACATAATAAACCAATATGAATGCATCTCATAATGTTATGCAAGGATCCAGCAGAACATCTCAATGATGGATCTATTATATGTCTAGATGTTCCTTTGTGCCAATTTTTCCAAGCCTGTGAGAAATTGACACATTTCTTAGATTGCGATATTTATCATTAGTCATTGGTGCCTTCAGTTTGTCCAAAAAGATTAACTTTTACTTACACAACTTAGGAGGTCCTCCACATCCTCCCCATTTTGGAAACTGCTGATTTTTTGGCCACTTATGATTTCAAGAACTAGGACGCCAAAGCTGAAGATATCAGATTTACTAGAGAATTGTCCGTGCATTGCGTATTCAGGTGCCATATATCCACTGTAATTGTTAGTTTTTAAATATATAGTCAGTGAGCAATCACATTCATAAATATATATCTAGATACATTTAGTGCTTGTTTAGAATAACTTAAAAGTTGCTAAAAGTTGAGATAAAAAAAATAACAAATAATTTTAACCATATATTTCATGGAATTCACAAATTTTATAGTTTTCAACTATATATATATATATATATATGGGGTTCATCTCTCCATCTAATAACACATTGCTTGCTTTGAGATCACGGTGAATGATTCGCAATCGAGAGTCTTCATGCAGATAAAGAACCCCCTTAGCAATGCCCCCTATGATTTTGTAGCGTGTCTCCCAATCCAAATATTGGTGCTTGCTTGGATCTGCAAGTTAAATTAGGCACATTTCAACATTGCGAGATATCAAATCAGGACCATTACAATTAAGATGGCTAGAAATTATATGTGTAACTAGATTGGTGAAAGAAATATGCTTTACTTCAATTAAAATTTTACCAAAAACGAAACGGTCAAGGCTCCCATTCTCAACAAATTCATAAACAAGAAGCCTCTCGCTTCTTTCTAGTGAGAATCCCAAGAGCCTAACTAGATTCCTGTGTTGAAGCCTGGCCATTAACAAGACCTCATTTTTAAATTCCAAGTCACCTTGCCCTGAATTCATGGACAATCTTTTCACAGCTATTTCTTGCCCACTTGGTAGTATTCCCTGACATTAAATTGGAGCAAATAAATATTTTGGATAAATGCCAATAGTCCAAACTCACATGTTAATTACTTTGTTACAAGTCAGTGTTCCACTTCTATATATATTGCACCCATCTCTTTTAATAATTACCTTGTAAACAACACCAAATCCACCTTGCCCAAGCTTGTTACCATCAGAGAAATTGTTTGTTGCAGCTCTAATTGTACCAAAATCATAGTGGAGGGATTCAACGGTACTAATTTCATTGTCAGCTGGAACATGTAGCGTATAAGATTTCATCAAATTGTAGGCGAAAGGGCATGAAGATGGAGATTGACAAGACATAAAAATAGATATCTAAAGAAAATTAAACTTACTTTCATATTGTTCTTGTGGTTTACTCTTTCGTCTCATTCTTATGACGATGCCAATGAAAAGAGCAAGTATTAGGCCCGCAACAATTGGAACAATAGTATTAATGATAATTGGTCGAGTTGTATTATCATCCTCTCCTATAAAATCAAGAATAAAACTGCGATAATAAATTTACCACTTGGAATGTTTTTGTTAGAAGCAATACTTTTGTTAAGATCTAATTGAATTTAGCAAGCTTTAGACAATATCTAGATGGGATTGGGTAGCATAAAACAAAAATCCCTTAACTATAAGGTAATAAATGGATTGCCTGTCGGACCTCACACAGAGCAGTACATATATACAGAAGTAGTAGTTCTTACATGTTCTCAAACCAAATTAGAAGTCAAGGACTTTCTCACCTGGTGGTACCAGTATTTGTGGCGCTGGAGCTGACACTTGTGGTGGTGGTGGTGCTGGCCGAGGGATATCATTAAAAAATGGATAGGTTTCATAACGAAGAATGCAGCTGGGTGTGAGGATACCGAATCCTTGTTTTCCACTACAGCATTGTGATATAACTCCAGTAACCTCAGTCAGGCATGTACTACAATCCTTTGAGGTTAAATCAGTGGTGCACTGCACAAGTCCAAAAATTGTCAACATATCTGGTCCAGTCGTGTTTCCAGCAGCGAACTTCTTTAAGGAACCACTGTAAGCCGTGCTCTGTAGATTGTCCAACAATGTTCTCAAATCCTGATTGAACTCGCTCTTACTTGTGACATTGTCAATTCTATACCCAGAAAACTTTGGTTCAGTTTCAAGTTTTCCAAATATGGATTCGTTGGAGTAGCGTAACATACACAAATCATCAGGAGCCGAATGAAATGCTTGTTTTTGATACGGACACAATTGTAAGATTAAGCGCGTGGCATTATTGATACAACTTTGACATGTATCGAGCTGAACATCTCCTCTACAGAGTGCAATGGCATTGACTCTATCAGCATTTTCTCCCAGGGAAGTGTAGTAGAATCCATTGGAATCCATATTAGAGGAGATGGAGGAGAGAAGGGCATTAAGGTTAGCTCTGTAAGTGCTATTACTCGTGTAATTACCATTCGATCCACAGAAATAATTCTGGGATTTAACGTAACCAAAATGGTATGTCATATTGAGGAAAATGAAAGCAAGCCATTTCCAAGAACTCATAGTTGTATGCAGTGTTATCTCTAATATGGCGAAAGTGAGCGTATACAGTATGAGATGAATCTCGAGAGAACAAATTCGGTAATATTTATTAACTTTTCAATCAAACATCTATCAACTTCTATCAAATTCTGTTAAAATTATTATTAAAAACTTTATCAAACAGCCCCTTAATTACGTTTAGGTTTGCCTACCAAAATTCAAGGATTTAGCTTGGCTAAAAAATCTACGTTCACTTTTCCACCATTGACTGTGACTTTGATAATTCAAGATTTCATACTTCTATGGATTTATTTAAGTTTGAGAGTTATGATTGAGACGGGAGTGATACAGACAAGGCGTGAAACAGGGGAGGTACTTTCTCACCCTTAATTTTTCCAGACAAGTTTTTTTCTACTTTCGATAACACCCATAAATTTATTTCCCGACTTCATTTTAAGTGTTGTCTTATTTTTATTTTAGAGTTTGTTCATATAAATTATTTCATTTAAAAGTTTAAATGTTAGAAATTGACCACATTAGTTTCCTCTAAGAATTAGTCCATATCTAGAATACCTTGTTCAAGTATGAGATACAAAATGATAAAACACAATGTGGAAAAATCGATATATGCAAATTTGTTGATAACAATTTAAAGACTATTTTCAAATAATCTAAAATTAGGTATTTGATCATTTGATGCATGTGTTAATATTTTTACAACTATAGAAGTTACATTGAGTTTTAGATTTGATCTTAGAAGATCAACTTCATGTCTTTATTTATTAATTATTATTTCAGATTAAAGTGAAGGAAGATTTTATTTTTAATATTCTTTGCTAGATGGTGGCTAGTGTAAGAACACCCATCTTGAAACCTCAAATTGTTGAAACAACAAACAAGTGGTATTACTCATTAAATACTATTTTAAATTTTTAAATCATTCTAAAATTATTCGATAATTAAAGAAAAAGGTGTTTAAAAAGCGTGAAAAAACGCAACTAGGCACAAAAAATAAAAATAAAAATAAGAAAATAAAAAATAAAAAGCATAAGGCATTTTGTGCCGGCCCGCTTGATGTCTAGGCATCGCTTCTTGAAATACTGAGTTATTAAAAAATACTCTTGAAATGTCTATAGCTTAGTGCTTGTTTGATAAAATTTTGCCAATTTTTATCAACTTTTCGATCGATCAAACTTCAATTTTAATGACACTTCTCGTAGTATCAGCAAAGTTTATCAACTTCTTAACCATATATTTCATCGGTTGTTATCAAATTTTGCTAAATTTTTTAAACAAAGGCTTTGTCAAACAACTCCTTGACTACGTTTAGGTTTGCCTACAAGAATTCAAGGATTTAGATGGGCTAAAAAATCTACATGCCTTTTTCGATCGACTGACTTGGATAATTCAAGATTTCACTCTACTTTTATTGATGAAGGTTGAACGTTAAGAGTCATGACAGAGACGGAAGTGCATACAAGGTGGAAAACAGGGAGGCATTTTCTCTCTTGACCATTTCAAACATGATTTTTTTCCTTTTAACAACACCCATAAATTGACCTGCTAAGCGCATTTTACGTGTCTTTTTGTTTTTATTTGAGAGTTAGTTTACATTCTCATTATTCTCAAGTCCATGTTTGCCAGTAAAAACATTAAGATATAGAAAGACTGGAATTCAAGTTTTTACTTGTTCGAGTTCTTAATTCAGTCAAATCATTGAATATCGGCCTCATGTCGAAAGATAATTAAATTGTGAATCATTCTGTAAAACTGGTCACTTTGCATCAATGTTTTCTTTGTGGGGGAAAAACTATAATGCTACACGAGAAGATAAAATTCGTTTACAGTGACATGAATATATTTTTTTGGCCCTTGTTGTCAACAGATGCATTCTTTAAAAAATAAATAAAATAAAATAAAAAATCAGTAATTAACCTGCACCTCAAAGCCTGCCTGAACTGTTGAGGCTGTGTTTTCAGGCGAACGCCTCAAGGTTTTTGAGGCTTCTGCTCAAGAAAACTTTGTATAGAAGACTGGTATATACTCTGGAGCTTTCATAGTTGGACAACAGCTTTTAGTTTTCTGGTTGTAGCGGAAGTGTTATTTTAATTTTGACTAAGGTGAATTGTATTTTCTTAGACTTTACTTGGCATCAACCTTGTTGAACTAATCAATTTTGTTTATATATGATTACAAATTATTTCACCCTCACCCTCACCCTCTAATACAACAAGCTACACATTAATGATGCCCCACGGGGCATAGCCCAGTGGTGCAAAGAATAGGAGTGAGGTTATCTCACGCCTTGTTGACAGCCACAGTGTGGGGGTTCGATTATTGAAACATGGAATTGGACTCCTTGTAGGCGCAGTGTACAGACAACTCTTGTTCCCTGGCATGCTGGGATACATCCCGCGATTTACTTCCTTCACAAAGCTCTAAGGGCAGGGTGGTGGGGTCGTCAAGGTTGAGGTTCAACCTTTTTTTTTTTTTTTTTTTTTTTTTTTTTTTTAAAGCTACACATCAATGATGAATCTCCATTTAAGAATAAGTGGGACATACCATGTTAATTCAATGGTAAATCTGAAAGTTTGCAATATCATCCAAAAATGTTTCTGTCATTTATGTAGGCTATAAATTAAGAATCATGCTACACTTACAAAGATAGACTACAAAGTTGGGTTACAAAATAACATTCACACTAATCATTTCAAAAACAAAATTTTAAATCATTTCAAATCAGTGGCCTACATTTTGCCAACACACTTGGTATTTTCACTTTGTAAAGCTACTTTGTAAGAGTAGCTTTATTCATAAATTAAAATGAGCGTAAAAATTATGTTCCCTTATCGATGCTTTGACACGTATTTATGCTCTGTCAGCCAAGGTGTAATACTAGTGTTGGGAATCTACTTAACATGTACAGTGGAAAATTAAAATATATTTCGATTCCCACCAGAATTTATCTTTGTGTTTAGATAGAAATTGTTATAAAATTTGATACCTTTTCACGATCTGCAAATTCCTTTGCCTTATCTTTGTTCCAGCAATTTGGATCTGTCTCCCACAACTGTCCAATTGTCCAGCTTCCAACGGTGGCAAGAATAAATGAAACATCTCTACAATTTTGTAAACCCTAATCATATTTATATAAGTTCAAATGAGCTTGGCCTGACCCGGTCCAACATTTAATTAACCTATTTAATTAAATCTAGTCTGTGAATTAATTAATCCAATTAATCAATTCAGGCCTATAAATAAGCAACCCAATTAATTAATTTATCCAACACTTGTTAAATTAATTAATTGACAAATCACAATCTTTCAGTTCTCTTTTTGTGTGCGACCCATCAGGTTCCCAATCACGATGCCTAACGACGTGAAATATTATTTTAATCTAATCAAAATTGATAAATTAAACACCCTTTTAATTTATCACCAACCACAATCGCCGTCCCAGATTGACATCTAGCAATGTATCATGGCAGTACATGTGATAGGAAATGTCACGTGGTATGACAAAACCAAACTCGTTCATTTACCGTGAAACTATAATCCCTTTGTCAATATGATCCGATCAATTACGAGATATGGAAATGTGTCAATCTCGATTATTGATCATATCTTTCACTCCACTATTAAGTCAATATAGGTCGAAAACTTCTTTTCGACTTATGAGTACACCTTGATCAAGGATTTCATTATCGACTTAATTGAATGAAACACAGATCATAATCTCTTACTATCTAAGAGTGAAAAATCCTCTATTGGTCATTCACAACATTTATATGATTTTTGACATACCCAAACTATGCCGTATTAGTGACCATTGGCAGAGCAACATCCAACACCGTCAAAGCATGACCGTCCTCATATAAGGTATTATGACGACCTCAAGTCAAAAGGACCAATCTCACTACCGAACGTTAGAGATTAACTACTAACACTCAGATAGTTATCCATGTGGAATCTCTCGATGGATCTCCAATGTTTTGTTCTATAACAAAACATCCACATGTTCATTTAGGTGTCACTACACTTTACCTTGTGAGATCAGCTACTTACTTCACAAGTAAGAAATACTACACATGATAGTCTATCCGTAATAACGATATCCATATCTCGTTATTACTTACGACCACGGACGATTTAAGATTCAATCATATGTAATTTGTATCTTACAATCACAACTCCTTGTGATTAACAAATTACGAAAATTTGAATCTACAGATTCTATTATTTAATTTAATTGTCTATTAATTAAATAATAGATCTGCCATTAAATTGCATTAATTATATATCAAAAGTATTTATGTCAAATGTTGATTGGACCTAGGGCATTACACTTACAAACTTCCACTTGCACTAGATCCAATCACTTATGTATCTAATATCATAAGAGTTTATATGACGATCATATTTATGCTACAACAACTCTTTCTCAGTGGATCTGAAATATTATTAAATGTGGAAATTTGTTCTCTTTACGTTATTTCTATGTATTATCTCTTTGATAAGATTATACCGCCTTAATATATGTTTGGATCGTTGTTGAGAACTTAGTTCCATCGCTATCGCGATGGCTCTATTGTTATCACAATACAATGTCATGTGATCAACAATATCAGGAACTACTCCAAGTTCATTTATGAACATCATGATCCACACTGCAATACTTTGCTACTTCTGAAGTAATCATGTATTAGGTTTCTACTATTGAATCAACGGCTGCTTCACATCTGGAACCTTTCCAACATACCGCTTAAGAGTGAACCAGTTTCTCCATATGAAATCTTATCAAGATTTCATCTATGTAAATTGGGATGTGTTAAGCAATCTTCTAGATCTACCTCTATAGATCAAGTTGGTTCTCCCATATCGTTCATGAATAAATCCTTTAATGACCATTATTTCAACGATTGAAACATAGGAATGTCAGTACTCCCACTATCTCCTTGTAAACACACAATTCGTCTTCAAATTTGATAAAATCAAACAATTTGACTTTTTCATCAAATCGAATATTTCAACTCCAAAAGACTTCTCTTAACCTA